ACAAAGTGTCGAGAAAATGCACACTTGAACTTAAACGTCAATTGACGTGCAAAATTAAACACTTGTTTTACCAGTGAGTCAGATTTCAATAGGACTTCAAAGTGTTGTTGTTTTTATCTCTAGATAAGGTTTTGCATTGGTTTTAGCTGCCCTAGGGAGTTTGAAGGTCGTTTTGCGAGAATTTAATTGAGAATTCGCCAAATTTATAGCCTGATTATCAACTTTACATGCACATATCTCCAGAACCGTTTGAGCTACAGCGCCCAGATTTTGAGGGGAATCATAATTAGGCACGTTGTTTTCTTATAGAAAATTAGAAAGAAATCGATTAGGGTCGCAAAAACGGGCCCGAGGTTGCGATCCTGGACCCCTTTTGGTGACCCCCATTGATTTCGTTCAAATATTTTTCATGGAAAGAACTAACTGCAAGACAATTTCCTGCAAAATCTGGGCGCTGTAGCCCAATCGGTTCCGGAGATATGTGCATGCGAAGATGGCCAAAAAGCCATGAATTTGGAAAATTTTGATTAAATTTGTGTGAAATGACCTTCAAACTCCGTACCGGCAGCTAAAACCAAGGCCAAACCTTATCTATGGGTACAAAGTACAAACAACTACTCTTTAAAGCGCATTTGAAATCTGACTGTATCACCTTACCTTGTTAGACGTTTCCCCCTCGGAAAAATACAAAAAGGGCGCGCGAAGTACACGAGTTGGCACCGGGCTCACCTGGCTGGGAGTACGGCGTGGGGGCGGCGCGGGGCCGTTCGGCGGCGAACACCAACCAGTACAGGAGGGCGGCGGGCGACAGCCACACCAGGTACGGCAGCAGCCACAGCATGACGCGCAGCTAACTACAACTAGGCGGCCGGTCGGGCGCGCGCGCGTCCTTTAGACTGTGTGTAACTGGCGTAACTGGTCGCCTCTTCCCGGACCGTCCGCGGGACCGTGACTATATGTGCCCCAGCCACGTGTGGTCCGTACCTGCACACCTTCTCTCGAGTGCAGCAGCAGACGACGATTAGATAGCGTCTAATCACGGGCGGGACGCCCCCGACGGCCCCCGTCGGCCCCCGACAAATTCACGGTTTCCGCGAACCATCGTGCGCAGTTCGTAGGAACAGGATTTTCGAAATTGAAAACGTGACAGTGCGGAAAAGTTGCTCTGTCCGACGACAAATTCAACGCATTTTAATTTTTTGAAATCGGATAATATTTTCCGATCCCGCAAAGCGTTTAAAGTTTTGCATGGTTTTCTTAGGGGGAAAAGGCTCAAAAACTGGTTTTCGTTTTTCCAGAGAACATTTTTTGAAAACGAATCTCAAAAATGCATTCTACGCAAAAAAAAAAAAAAAAAAAAAAAAAAAACGCGTCTAATGATGTGCTTTACTTGACATTTGAGGGAAGGGTTCGGAGTCATTCAGGGGCTACTTTAACTTAAAACGCACAAGAATGGCTTTTGTTGCCTAAATTTGCGCTTGCATCCGGCTTAACCCTTCAGTCAAATTTCGAGTGTAACACATCACTAGATGCGCTTTATCGCCTAGATTGTATTTCTGAGATTCGTTTTCGAAAAATGTTCGTTTAAAAGATCATACCACAATATTTTTCCTAACTTTGTTTTCTTCTATACCCCCTTTCAGCTCCTTAGGGGCGGTTGGCAGGATTTGCCGTAGGTGTTTTGTTTTCTGGAAGTGAACCTTGAGATCCCCTGAAAATTTGAAGTCTCTAGCACATCTCCTTCTATTGGAACTGACAGACACACGGACAGACACACAGAATCGAGGTCGTTTGCATAAGCCCGCTGGATAGCTTTTTCAAAGCAGAAGGGCGGGCTAAAAATAAAAAATGCGTTGAATTTTTTATCGAATAGAGTAACTTTTCCGCGCACTATTCCGTTTTCAATTTCCAAAATCCTTTTCCCACGACCCATACTAGTGCGCAGTACTCGGTTGCCAGGCGAGTGCTGGGCGAGTGCTGGACGAGTGCCACTGCCACCGTGACCCTTGTCCCTTTCCACGACAGCGCTATACCACCGCCCAGGGTGCACCGCTACAACATAAGCCGCCCAGAGCAGTACACGCACTCCTTTGGCAGAGATAACAGCCTCCAACCCCCCCCCCCCTTCCCCAATCTACGGGTCAGCTGGTCGGGCGCCTTCGCGCGCGGCACGGTCGAGGCCGCCGCCGCCGCCAACTGCAAACAACAACATTGGGCCGTCGGAAACCGCGCTCGGCATGCCCTGCAATCGGCCGTTGTGCATGGGATGAACCCGAGGATAAACTCATGGGCCTTTTTACGACTTTTCCTTTTGCCCGATTTGGGTGTCAGCTGTCAGCGCCGCAGGCCTAGGTAGATGAATGCGAGACGTGTCGCAGCGTAACAGTGTTTCGTGAGAGATCGCGAAGCCTGTTACGCGAGACGTGGTCTGGCGTACATCTGCCTAGTACAATACAGAGAAACACATCGAAATACACGTCAAAAACAAAAGAAATATACTAGCAAAATACAAGAGATGCACGTACGAGCACGTCAAAATATAGAGAAAAATACAAGAAAAACACAAGAAGTGCACGCGAAGCGTGCATAGAAGTACACGAGTTGGCACAGGGCTCACCTGGCTGGGAGTACGGCGAGGAGGTGGCGCGGGGCCGTTCGGCGGCGAACACCAACCAGTACAGGAAGGCGGCAGGCGACAGCCACACCAGGTACGGCAGCAGCCACAGCATGACGCACTGATAACTACAACTAGGCGGCCGGTCGAGCCCGTGCGCGCAGGCAGAGGCCGTCCTTTAGATTGTGTGTAACTGGCGTAACTGGTCGCCTCGTCCCGGCCCGTCCGCGGGACGCAGCGGGACGCCAGGCGCGAGTGACTATCTCTGCCCCAGCCACCCATTCGAGCGGAGCAGAGCGGAGCAGAGCGGAGGGCCTCGCCGGAGAGGGGCCCCCGAACTTTGCACCTCAGCTCCGCGGGCCGCCGGCCACGCCAAGGCCGCGCTCCTGGACAACCGCTTTATTCGGCTTTTATCTCTCTCTCTCTCCCACTAAGGTCGACGTTCTGGTCTAGCGACCATAGAGAGTACAAGAATGAGGGTACTACTTCATTCTTACTTGCATGCGAATACTTCTATTTTAATCGGTAAAACAGCAGCGTTTACACCGCATGACCAGTGTACTGGTTACTAATGCAGTGTTGGCTGACAATAAGGTAGCAGCCCAATTTCCCCGCCACGCATGCGGAGAGCTGTTCACTTGCACCTAGCGCCTGCCGACTAGGCCACCTCTCGGTACAAGGTGCGCGGATGTGGGTTAGAAGTCAGGCGATACAGACAGACCCAACCAGGGCACGTGTACTTGTGGGAGGTTTTTGCCCGCTTCATCTCTGGCGACTGGCAACGATGTCAGCACGACTCGTCTTCGTCAGGGCGGGGGCGGGGGAGG